ACAAATGGCAAAGCTGGCATTTGAATCAAGGTCCTCTGATTCCAAATTCAGGGCTTTTTCCATTGTACCGTACTTAAGGGAACTTTTCCCCAAAGCACCAAAGTAATTAAAACTCCCTTTTCCATTTTGTCTTCTAAGTAGCATTTTCTCCCATAACATAACCATCTGTACCAAGGCTCTTCATGGTTGCTATGGTAAATTGTGTAATTTTTATCAAATGTTCAGAGTAATGTTTTACTCAGAAAAACCAAAACTGTCCACCAGGGCATGAAACCAAACAGCAGGCAAGCATATTCAAGATAAATTGGGAGTAATTTCAGAAGAAAGGGACTAAGATTAAGGAGAACTGGGAAAAACATCTTACAGAAAATGAGACTTTAATTAAGATTTAAATGAAGCCAGGGAAGCTAGGAGGCAGAGATGAGGAAAGAGGGTTTCCAGGCATGGGGGACAGTCGATGAAAATGCTTAAAGTTAGGAGATGGAGTGTCTTATATGAAGAAGAGCAAGGAGGCCAGTGTCACCAGATTGCAGAGTATATGAAGGGGAATAATTTGTAAGAAAATTAGGGGAAGTAGGAAGGGGCCAGGTTATGAAAGGCTATGGAAGCCAAACAAAGGATCTTATATTTGATCTTAGAGTAATTAGTAGTCATTGGAGTTTATTAAATGAGAGTGTATATGAAATGGTAAGACTTGTGCTTTATGGAAATAATTTTGACAGTTGAGTGGAGGAAGGACTGGAGTGAAGAGAGACTCGGGGCAGGGAGATCCACCAGCAGGCTATTGCAGTAGTCTAAGCAGGAGGTGATAAGGGCCAGCCTTGGGGTTGTGGCAGTATCAGAAGAGGGAAGGGGAAAGGTATTTAGGAGAGTCGTTATGAAGGTAGAAACAACAAGATTTAACAACTGATTGAAGATAGAGGGAGAGAGTGAAGAGTCAAGGATGACACCTAGGTTTCAAGCTTGGGGGACTGGGTGGTTGGCGGTACCCTCAGCAGTAATTGGAAAGTTAGGAAGAGGAAAGAGTTGGGGGGTGGGGTATGAGTTCAGTTTTGGACCTGTTGAGGACATCCAGTTGGAAATATAAGAAAGGCAGTTGGAAATGCAAGATTAAAGTTCAGGAGAGAGGCTAGGATTGGACAAGTGGATCTGAGAATCATCTGAATAGAGATGGTAATTGAAACCATGAGAGCTGATGAGATCAACATGTGAAAGATGAAAAATAAAAGAGGAACCAGGTCAAAGCCTTGGGGGACACCCCTGGTTAGCCGGTGTGGTGTGGATGAAAATCCAGCAAAAGAGACAGAGAAGGAGCAGTCATATAGGTAGGAGGAGAATCAGACGAAAGCATTGTGAAAAAACCTAAGATAAGAGAGTATCAAGAAGAAAATGGTTGACAGTGTCAAAGGATGCAGAGAGGTCAGAAAGGACGATGGTTGGGAAAAGGCCAAGATTGGCAATATATTGGCAATTAAGAGATCATTTGAAATTTTGGAGAAAGTCGTTTCAGTTGAATGATGAGGTTGGAAACCAGACTACAAAGAGTTAAGAAAAAGAGTGAGAGGAAAGGAAGTAGAGACAGACAGCCTTCTCAAGGAAGTTAGCCCCAAAAGGGAGAAAAGATCAAGGATGGTATCTAGACAGGATAGACAGATCAAGTGATAGTTTTTTGAGGATGGGGGAAATGTGGGTATATTTTTAGGCAATTGGGAAGCAGTCAATAGACAGGGAGGAATTGAAGATATTAAATAGAGTGGGTATGATAGAGAGAGCAATTGGCTGAAGAAGATGGGATAGAATGAAATCACTTGTGCACATAGGAGGTTTGCTCCCTACCCACTCACCATGGGTGTATTTTTATTTTGTGTATATCCCGTGTTTAACTTATGTTTGAACATGCTGTATTCCTTTAATAGAAGGTAAGCTCTCTGAGGGCAAGGACAGTATACTTTCACATCTGTATCCATAGCATCCAGTACAGTACTTGGAACATACCAGATGCTTACTTAATTTTTGCTGATTAACAGGATAGTGGAAAGAGCTCTGGACTGGTAGAAGTCAGGAGACTTGGATTCTAATCTCAGCATATCTTAATGAGTAAGACCTTGAACAAATCTCCAGGCTTCAGTTTCATCATCTGTAAAATGAAGGCATCAGATTAGATGGTTTTTAACTTTCTTCCAGCTATCACCAATCTATGAATCTATGAAGAAAATGGTTTTCAAAATTTTATTCATTTGACAGACATTTATTAAATACTGTGTGCAGAGCACTATGTTAGGTGTGGGGAGAGATACAAATTTTAGATAAGGTACATTCCCTGCCATTGTGGACCTTTCAGAGTAGTAAGGACATATGTTATGTATACAAATAATATTCATATGAAATAATACAGGATACTTGCATGAAAGATGCAAAATACTCCATAAAATTCATGAGGAAATTTCTGACTAGTGTCTAGGGAAAAATCAGAATGATTTCCTGGAGGAGATTGTATCCAAAAGTCATTCTCCAAATTAATATTACTACTAATTTATAATAATAATTTTAATTAGTAATGTCTCCAATATTAGATGAGAAGGTCTTATTTAAATCCCTCACAATGCCTTACACATCATAGTTGCTCAATAATAATAGTAAGGTATGTTCCTTGCTAGGTGATGCAGTGGATACAGTGCCAGGGCTGGACTCAGGAAGACCTGAGTTCAAATCCAGCTTCAGACACTTACTAGCTGTGTGACCCTGGGCAAGTCACTTAACTCTGTTTGCCTGTTTCCTCATCTGTAAAATGGGGACATATTGGAGAAGGCAATGGCAAGCCATCCCAGTATCTTTGCCAAGAAGATCCCAAATGGAATCACAAAGAGTCAGAAACAACTACATGACAACAAAAATATTCCCTGCCCTTATAGAGCTTACAATGTAGTGAAAAGATAAGAGACAAACACATGTAGATAACTATAATTTGTGATAATGCATTAAGAATGGCCTCCCCCCTTGGAGCTTACGTTCAAGGAGGTGACACATCCTATGGACATGGTTAATTATTTTATAACTCCCACATTTTTCCAGTGAGAAAATAGTATGCCTCCCTTGCATTGATCAAAACCACTTTGATACTTCTCGATGTACCCTAAGGATGTCTGGACTTTGCCATCCATTCTGGAGCTGTGCCCTTAGGACAAGCCCTTCCAACCACCCTGCTACCAAACTCTCCCATGGATGTGATCTCCTTCAACTAGAATGTGAGCTCCATGACAGCAAGGACTGTCTTGTTTTTCCATCTGTATTCCTAGCCTTTAGTACAGTGCTTGGCATACAGTAAGCACTTAATAAATGTATTTTCACCCACCCATCCATCCATTCATTCATTCTCATCTCTTCCACTTTGTGCATCTCTGGCTAACTGACCTATGATGGGAGAATTTAAAGGCCAACAGTAAGCACTAGTTCATGTTAATATTACTGTGCTTCCTGTGAATAATAAACGGTGAAGAACACTAGGCTAAGATTCACATACTTATTATTGAAAAATAACAATTGAAAAAGAAAATACACCCACCTTTTGGAGGTTATGGCTGCAAAATAAACATGATTTCTATCCCAGTGCTTACCTCCATCTTCTTCCACTGTCCTGGTCCCATCCAGTCACTTGATGTGGCCATCTTACCTGGACATTCCTGAATTGTTAAATTGAGTTAAGCCACGTACTTCCATCTCTTAATTATATCCTATTCATTTACTTTACCAAATGCAATTATAAATAAGTGTGTGTGTGTACATATGTGTGTGTGTTATTCTGTAGAGTGCTGTTTGTATTCTTAGGGAAAGAGAATTTAATTGAGTTAGAAAATTGATTAGTGATTCATTATACTTGTCCAGTAGGGTAGTTCCTTGGCTTCTCCTGGGGCAACCCACTTGTCCAGATTATAGAATCAGCTGTGTCACTGGGGTTTGGTCTCCTTGTTGATCAGGGAACCTAGAGAGAGAGAATGACCTCTGGAACCTTTGGTTTAAGGGGTTGGTTTGGGCAAGTGTGGTATGCTAGCTGTAGAAATGAAAATATGGATGGGTTTTCCCCAGTATTGCCCTAGCACTGATGGTCTTGGACTTGACCTGGGGATATAGGAGGGACGTTATATCAGTATTTTAAAAAAAGTAGTAGACTTTCTATCTAGAAACAACTTTATTGTCTTACGAGCTATCATTAATATTAAAACTAGAAGGTACATGAGATATTATCTTGTCCAACCCCAAAGTTTATAGATTGAGGAAACCAAGACTCAATCAATCGATGATTTATTAATTGCCTTCTTTATTCCTGGCACTGTGCTAGGTATGAGGAGGAGCAATGGATGCAAAGAATGAAACAATCCCTCCTTTCATGGAGCTTACATTCTAATGGGAAGTAAAATGCTCAAGGCCACATAAGTGGGTGACACCAGGTCTAGAACTCAGTTTTCCTGGTTCCAGGTTTCATGCTCTTTTCCACTACACATTAGAGATAGTGTTATATAGTAGAGAGCATGCTCAAGTTAGAGTCAAGAGTTGACCAAATGCCTTCACTAAGTGAGTCCTCATGTCTTGGAGAGTGGCAGGATGGAATGTGAAGTATTTCAATCCTCCTTGTAACACTTCATGTATAATTATAGATATATCAGTTAACCCCTGTGAGCCTCACTTTCCTCATCTGTAAATTGGGGATACTATAATAATTAGGGATGACACATCTCACAGAGCTGTTGTGAAGAACAGAAAAGATAATATTTGTCAAGTACTTTGCAAATCTAACGATGCCAGTGTCTGTTGTTATTGCTGTCGTATGATTTTGCCTCATTTAGTAAGACAATGAGAATTTCTCTGTAGAAAGAATCAGTCATTTTTTTAGGTGATTTTCCTTCTGCTCTTTTGTCAGTCCATCAAAACTAAGACCTTGATCCCATAAAAGCCAAGGCCTTCTTGCACTTACTCCTCTCTCCTCTCATTTTTGTCTCTTCCAGGTTTTGGCATGACAACACCAGCAACTGTGGGAGGCAAAGTTTTTCTGATATTTTATGGTCTCATTGGATGTGCAGGCACCATCTTGTTCTTCAACCTCTTCTTAGAGCGTCTGATTACAGTCATCGCCTACATCATGAAGTCATGCCATGAAAGGCAGCTCAAAAAGAAGGGGGAGCTGCAATCTGATAACCAGAGAGGCTCTGGGACCTCAGAGGCAGACAGCATGGTGGGATGGAAGCCCTCGGTGTATTATGTCATGCTGATCCTGTGCATGGCCTCCCTCATCATCTCCTGCTGTGCCTCTGCCATGTACACACCCATTGAAGGTTGGAGCTACTTTGATTCTCTTTATTTCTGCTTCGTGGCCTTCAGCACCATTGGCTTTGGTGACCTTGTCAGTAGCCAGAATGCCCAGTATGAGAGCCAAGGGCTCTACCGCTTTGGCAACTTCGTCTTCATCCTCATGGGTGTCTGCTGCATTTATTCCTTGTTCAATGTGATCTCCATCCTCATCAAACAGTCCATCAACTGGATCTTGAAGAAAATGGAATGCCACTATTGCCAGTGCCAAAGAAAAGCCTTACTCTTACGGAGAAATGTGGTAACTCCCAGCAATGTGCGGAGTGGGCAAGAAATCTCCATTGAGACAGATGGCGTGATCGAGAGTGAAACAGATGGGCGTCGTCTCTCAGGAGAAATGATCTCCATGAAGGACTTCTTAGCCTCCAACAAGGTCTCATTAGCCATACTACAGAAGCAACTGTCGGAGACAGCCAATGGATGTCCTCGACAGGCCAACGTGTCAGCCCGACACAAGGGATTTTCAGGAGGGGTGGGAGCTCTGGCAATTATGAACAACAGACTGGCAGAAACAAGCGGGGATAGATAGAGAGAAGCTCTGGACACTGGAAGCCAAGTAGAGGGCAAAAGACAGAAGGAGTTGTCATCAAAGAGAACAAACAAACCAAGTGGGACTGTCTGCCCTTAGAGGCCTTGGCAACAGCTCCGTAACACTGGTTGTGGTTTGGCATCATCTACAGGCTTGGCCCTTGGCAGAACTTTGTTCCCCTAAACGGCTGCCTTCCAAGGGACCTGTGTTGAATGAAATACCATCATATTTTTGTTGTCTTTCTTCCCCCTCTTTATATATACATATATATATGTATATGTATATGTATATGTATATATATATTCCTTAAATCTGAGACCAGCTCTAAAAATTAATCACAGAAGCATCACAGAGAAGATTAAACTCTCTTCTTCTGAGTCAACTAATGCCTTAAAATTGCCTTATTATTTGTATAGTGCTTTACACTTTACAAAGTGAATTTCCATTTCCACTATCCCATTTGATCCTCACAAATGGGTAGGCCTCAGAGGTGTGAAGGGCAAGGATTACCTTCCCCACTTTAAAAAAAAAACAGGTGAGGAAACTCTAGCTCAATGAGGCCAAGCTTACACAGCAGTAATAGGCAGTAGAAGTGAGACTCCAGGTTAGCTCTTCTATGGGGTATTAAATGTCACACAGAATGGTCCAGTTCAGCTGAGGAAGAGGAGATGAAGGGAGGGTTGTATGTTTTAAGACTTAATTTCTTGCTATTTGTTATCCTTTAAATGGAAGAAGGATCTTGATTCTTGTTTCGCAACTTAAGAGTTGCTGACCTGTTAACCAATGTCAAATTATCCCCTCATTCTACACCTTCTTTATTAACAATCTGGTTAATCTCCATCTCTTCTTCCCTCCCTCCCCAGTCTTCTGTGAACTATATAACTCATATTCTTTTTTAAAAGGGAATTGGTGCCCCTTAGAGCTAGAAGCTGACAGAGCAGCATTTCCAAGTCCAGGGGAAAAAAAACATTTACTTTATATACATGGGTTTTGGTGTTTTTTTTAATGGTGTTTTCTCCTTTATGGTTGCTAGCTGACTGAGTGAGAATTGACCAAGCAGTCAGATTCCATTTCAGGCTTTTGAATTGCAATGAGGAAAAACACTCCTCTATCTCTGCTTGACTTCCTCCTTCCTGATTCTCACACAGCTCCTTTCCTTCTATTATAAAGTTTGGGTCTTGATTAGAATTCACGCTGAACAAATCCATTTTATTCAGTAATATTAGCTGAGCACTTGTCAGGGACCCAGAGAGAAGATCTGGATTAAGCATAACACACACACACACACACACACACACACACACACACATTCATTGCAGGCAGATAAACAAACTGAGGTGACATTCACCTGATGCCTTTAAAAGCCATCCAGCATCATGAGAAGGACCCCCCTCTAAGGTGCATAAGGAAATAAGGCTGAGCCGTTTTTCATCCTTTTCATGCTCTGGTCTCTATGCATCATCTCAGAACTGTTTCTCAGCCTTGCCAGCAATAAGAAGATATTCCAAACAATCTCTTTCTTTAATTTTTCCTTTTTTAATATTAAAAGCACCTCCGTTCCCAGTAGGGTTTGCAAGGCTAACTAAAGGAGGGGAAGGAAGGAGAAAGAAAAAAGAAAGAAAGGGAAGCAAGGGAGGGAGGGAGGAAGGAGAAAGAAAGAAGGAAAGAGAGAAAAAGAGAGAGAAAGGAAGAAGGAAGCAAGGGAGGGAGGGAAGGAGAGAGGAAGAGAAGGAAGATGGAAGGAAGAAAAGAAAAAGAAAACAGAAAGAGAGGAAGTAAGGAAGAAAGGAAAGAGAAAAGAAATAGAGGGAAGGAGGAAGGGAGGAAAGAAAAAAAGAAAGGGAAGGGAGGAATGAAAGAGAGAGAAGGAAGGAAGGTTCATAGTAATTTAGGTATGTCCCTTTCACAACTGCTTTAATAAGAAATACCTGGACCTTTAAGATCTTTCATAGGAAGATCTATTATTAGCCCTGGCTCTGAAAGAAAGATATCATACAACACCGTTTCCTTAAAAAGAACCACCAAGGGGCAGCTAGGTGGCACAGTGGATAGAGCACTGCCCCTGAAGTCAGGAGGACCTGAGTTCAAATCTGGCCTCAGGCCAAACACTTGACACGTACTAGCTGTGTGACCCTGGGCAAGTCACTTAACCTCAATTGTCTTAAAAAAAAAAAAAAAAAGAACCACCAAGCCATGCTGAAAAATTCCCATACTGCTTCTTTTAAAAATAAAATGTTTTGGGGGGAAGGAAGAGTAGATCCATGATTCCATTGGTATAGGGAGCACCAAATGAAGAAACTCGATCTACAAATGCAGGTCGGGAGTTTCTCAGCAACTTCATAGGCTTCGAGAGCTACTGGAGGCACTGACAGGAAGTGACTTGCCCAGTGTTGCACAGCCAGTGTGTGTTGGAGGCAAGACTTCAAACCCAGGTCTTCTTGACTCTGGAGCCAGTTCTCTCATCATTTGGCCATGCTCCCTCTCTCCCATCCTGCTTCTTAATGGTCATTTGCTAGAGCCCGGTCATGGGGGAGTTTAGCCAGTGATCTGAATCACATAGCTTTTCTTTGGTTCTTTGACCTCAGTCTATGTTCCTAATGCAGACCATGCCACTTTCTTTTCCTTTTTTTCCTTTTGGAGGCAATTGGGATTAAGTGACTTGCCCAAGGTCATATAGCTAATAAGTGTCTGAGGCTGGATTTGAACCCAGGTCCTCCTGACTCCAGGGCTGGTGCTCTATCCCCTCTGCCACCTAGTTGCCTCTGGACCAAGCAACTTTTACAAATACATTTTATTGGTCATCAGTGGAGGGTATGAATGAATGAATGAATGACTGTGCAACCCAACCGACTGTGAAAAAAAAATTTAAAGCACACCTGCCCCCACAATTAATCTCTGTCCATCATCATGGAAAAGGGAGAGAACTTTTTCTGCGGAGGCAAGAACAAGTGACTGAGGTCAGGAACAACCTTCATTTTCCTTTTTTTGGATATTTGTTCTGTGGACCAGATCTATCATTTCATTGGTATAAACTAGAGAGTTCCCGGTAAGCTAATACCTACCATTGCAGGTCAGCATCAACTCTGCAATTACTAGCCTTGGGGCACCACGGTTAATTGACATACCAAGGTTCATGCAGCCGGTGTTGGAGGCAAGGACGTGAACTCAGATCTTTCTGACTTCAAGGCCATCCCCCTATCTAGTAAAGCCACGTTGCCTCTCGACAACCCCTTTTTCAATACATACCGTCAGTCAGTACACTGCTTAGTGTACCCTCCAAAATGGAAGCACAAGAGGGAAATATGGGAAAGAAGATAAAAGAGAAAACCTTCGTGGAAAATAAAATCATTTTTTAAAAAAAATCTAAGGATAGATTGTCACACGGCAGCTAGATGGCCCAGTGGATTGAATACCAGGCCTGGAATCAGGAAGACCCAAGTTCAAATCTGGCTTCAGACATGTACTAGCTGTATGACCCTGGGCAAGTCACCTTTCTTTTTTGGTAAATTAATACTTTATTGTTTGCTTCGGTTTCCTCGTCTGTAAGATGAACTGGAGAAGGAAATGACAAGTCACTCCAATACGTTTGCCAAGAAAATCCCAAAAGGGGTCACAACTGAAATAACTGAACAAGAAGATTATCACAGCAGGGCAACTGTGATCTATAGATAGATAGATAGCAAAAACACAAAAGAGGAGACCAGCGAAGAGAAATGGTTTGAGCTGATATTCTTAGAATGAAACCTTGCTTAGGTTCATAGGGCATTAGGGAAAGTCTGCTTAAAGTTCTAAAGTGTGTGTCATTCACTGTGATTCTAATTAAGGTTTCTATAATCAACTAGTCAAGTGTGAGCTAGTTTGAACCCAGAATACTAGCATTAGAAGAGTCCTTAAAGGTCCCATATCCACTTCACAGACGAGAGAACTGAGACATGGAGAAAAGTGACCTGTCCAAGGTCTTGTGTTTTAGCTAAAGTACACTGGAGGTTTAACACCTCTCTCCCAGGGCAGAACTGTCTCCACTACACCATGCTGCCTCAGGGCTTTGTTCTGTTGTTTCCCCATCAGGCAGGAATGCCCTTTCAGCCAGCAGGTCAGCCCAGGCTCCTGCTTTTCTCCTCAAAGTGCCCGACTATAGACTATATCCTGGGCTATCTCTTTTCTCCTTACCTTAAAGGAAACTTCTATTTCCTCATGGTAGGAAAGAAGTCTTTTCTCCCTCCTCATCAAGGCAACGTATTCTGATGGTACCACAGGTATTTTTGCTATTCATCGGTCGGCAAGTATTCATGGGGTGTCTAATCCGTATTTGGCATATGTGTCTGCATATTATTCCAGGGTGGGGAGTAAGACAAATTGGGCAGAGGGTTATGTATTTTTTAATGCATCATAAAATATGATCCTTACCCCCAACAGCTTACAGCTTCCTTGGGCAGACAAGGCTACTTATTATACATGAAACAATCAAAGAACATGATGATCAAACTGTTATTCTAGGCTCTGATGTTATTCCAGAACTCTGATTCCAGGCTGTCTCTTAAGGTGGTAGCTGAGCATTGATGGGGTACCTGCCCTAGGAGTGAGTTATAGATACCAAAAATACAAAGAGGGGAGACTAATGTTTGTTGAAGAGAATTAGATGGAACAGAAATCTTGCATGTGTCCCTAGGACATTATTTAAGAGAATTCTGCTTAGTGTGTGTTGTTCATAATGATTCTAATGCAGGTTTCTGCAATCATATAATCAATGATTAGTCATTTACTAAACACCTTCTATATGCCAGGTGCTGTACTAGGCTCTGGGGATATAAAATCCAATAATGAATCAAACTCTGCCCTCATGAAATTTACATTCTATCAGAGGAGGCAATATCTATACATATGAGTGTATACAAAATAGAGATGAGTGGGCCTGTACTCGGCATGGGGCTCAGTCAATGCAAAGGTATTGAGATGAGAAATGGAATGCCTAATGTAGGGAACAGTAAAAAGGCTAGACT